CTTTTTGCTTATGTGGTGCTGAGGAATCGAACCCAGGGCCTCATGCATGCAAGGCAAGCACTCTACCACTGAGCCACCTTCCCAGCCCCCTTACTTCTAATTTTTTAACTATTGATCTACCCTAAATAGAAACTTCACAAGATCAGGAATTCATGTTTTATTGGCTATGTTCCCAGCACACAGATGATTCCATAACTTTCTGCAGAATAATTTTTGTTGGGTGAATCAAATACCAGCTCCAAAGTTCTGACAGGAAGTGATTGTGGGCCTAGTTTTACACCCAGCAATAGGAACATAGTCAAACAGGAACACAGATTTGCAGACATGCCCAAGTCCAATGAATTATTTTCCATGTTCTCATTTTGACAAGTCATTTGAGATAGCAAATGTTGCATTGAATCATAGGAAGAATGGAGCTAAATAAGAATCCCACACAAAAGAAAGTAAGTCCTGCCAGGTGCTGGTGGCTCACGCCTGTAATCCTAGCTTCTCAGGAGGCTGAGGTCTAAGGATCACAGTTCAAAGCCAGCCTGGGCAGGAATGTTTGTGAGACTTTTTTTTGGGGGGGGGTCATGGGGCTTGAACTCTAGGCCTGGGTGCTGTCCCTGAGCTCTTTAGCTCAAGGCTAGCACTCTACCACTTGAGCCACAGTGCCACTTCTAGCCTTTTCTGTTTATGTGGTGCTAAGGAATCGAACCCAGGGCCTCATGCATGCAAGGCAAGCACTCTACTACTAAGCCACCTTCCCAGCCCACTACTCTCTTTTCTCACCAAGCTTACCCACTTTATTAATCTGAAAGGAAATCCACATGGATCACTGCCACCCGCAGCATCTTCATTTTTTATCCATATCCCACAAGCTCCTTAAAATGTCCACAACCCAATTATCAATGCCACATCCAACAAGAAACGTATGTTCTCTTCCTGTGCACCACACCTGGCATACTTGAATGTCAGAGCCATCTAGGTATCTCATATCCTTTTTTTTTATATTAATGTGAAACATAAATGTCCCAAAGAGAAAATTTTAGGTTTAATCTGCTTACAGTTTTATGTGCTCTTTCTTCAAGATGTATCTCAATTAAAAATTGTAACTAAAATATAAAAATACCCTATGGAAATGACAGAGAATATGAACTCCTGGAAAAGATAACTGTTACATAGGAAATGCTCCAAAAACATAGAGCAGAAGCAGAAGACAGAAAATATAAACTCAAAAGACAAAAGTATCAGAATCAATCAAGATGGCCCAACATCCAATTAATTGGAGTTGTTTCATTTGTCTACATCATACTTAACTGGCTTTTTTTTTTCTGGTCCTAGGCATTGTTCCTGAGCTCCTTTTTGCTCAAGGCTAGTGCTCTACCACTTGAGACATACTGCTACTTATAGAGTTTTTTGTGATTAACTAGAGATAAGTCTCACAAACTTTCCTTCCCAGACTGGATTTGAACTGTGATCCTTAGACCTCAGCCTCGTGAAAAGTTAGAATTGCAGGCATGAGCCATACGTGCCCTCATTGACTTTTTTTTTTTTTTGGGTCCGGTCATGGGGTTTGAACTCTGGGCCTGGGCGCTGTCCCTCAGCTC